CCAACAGCATGCAGGCACACGGTCTCTACAGGCCATGTCCCAGTGGCTGTGGAGTCCGGGTGAGCGCACGGCATGTGGGTGGGGTGGGGTGAGTTTCTTATTAAATCACAGGGGCACTCTAGGCCTGGACTGGGCAGATCTGAAGAGACCGGACAGCACACACAAAGTGGAGGAGAAACCCATGTTGAACCCGAGCCAGGTGGTAGGGACAAATCTTTTATTCAGTGAGCAGGTTTTAAAGAGCGCTACTGTGTGGGAATACAGAAAAGCTAAAACTGGCCCCTTAAGAACCCGACAGGTCAGAGCTTACGAGAGCCACAAAGAAAGAAGTTGGGGTAGGGGACAGGGAAGGCACTGGCTCAGAGGAAGTGAGAATGCTGTGTGGACCTTCCGGAACTTACAAAGAGGCAGGATGTGGAGCCAAGGCAAGGCAGGTCAGCGTGACCTCAGTGACTAGTCATGATGCTGCTGGGATAAACCCAGACCACTTCTTTCTCATCCAGCTGACCCTTTTACCCCTCGTGGTTAAGTCTAGGGTGTGGGAAAGATCAAAACCTACCCAAGACCAAATACCATGATGCAGATCCAACAGGTTGAGGGGTGAAGCCTGGGCTCTGTTCTCCTGCCAGGGTCATCACCAGAGATGACTAAGCTTCTGCAGTTCACAGCTCCTTGCACACACACCCCCAAACACAGCAGAACTGCACTGGGCATCACCTGCACTGACTAGGCACCACCTAGAGCAGAGGCAATTGCGCCCAGCATCACCTGCAGACACAGGTCAATCCACCCCGGATGTGAGTCATCATGCCCAGAGTCAGATGCAACAGAGATCTACATTGGTAGATATTGAAGGATGGGCACCTGGGAGGTGTAAGCTGGCAGATGAAGGAAGGGGTGGCTTTCTCATGGGCGTCTTTCCTTTCCCTTCCCACACACTGGCCGCAGCGCTGGGGCAAAGGAGAATAGCACAGTCAGCAGAAGCTGCTGACTCTTTCAAAACCACTTGCAAGAACTGAGGCTGTGAACACAGCCTCAGCCACTCAGCTCCCCCTCATCCGTCAGGGGCCCTCGTGACTCTGCACAAAGCCCGACTGTGCCTGACAGTAGATTGGGGGGGGGGGTCTCCAGCAAGCCTATCTTCTCTCCTGACTCACAGAGCCTCCACTTCACCCAGCTTGAAAAGTCTGTTCCTTGCATGCAAAGAAACCCTTCAGCCTCACAACAGCAGGGCTGTCTGAGGGCTGCTGGATCTGGGGAGCAGTTGCGATGAGGGAGCCCTTGTCTTCAATAAACCCCTTTCCAGCAAAACTACCACTCCAAGGTACCCCCCTTTATAGCACAAATTACAAAGCTGAGGTATGTGACCACAGAAAGATTCACACTAACAAAAGAACCCCCAATCCAACAGTAGATGAGCACCTGAGCAGGCAGGCAGACTGCTACTTGATTTTCATATTCTATACCAAGCTTCCATGCCCTGCATCCTTCGTGCTCACAAGCATCCTGCCGCCCATTGTACAGATGAAGACACAGGCTAAGAGGCCTGAAGAGAGCAGTGGAGGCCACAGCAGGGTGCTCCATCTTTACTCAGGGCAGCAATCTCAAGGGTTGCCCGGGGCTTGGCACTTCTCCTGTCCTACCCTCTCCATATACTGACACTGTACACATTACGCCAGGTACTTGGGGCCGGGAAGAGTCACTTCAAAGCCTGGCAGTTCACCTCAGTCACACAGCCAAAACCTGGACTATCACTAGGAGGCTACCTGCTTCTTGCCCTGGGTACTTGGCAAAGTAGGCTATAGAGCACTCTGGCCTCCCTGTCCCAGGGCTAGCTTAGGCTGGCCAGGCAAACACTGTCAGACTCAACCCTTCTCCTTGGTTCCCCTGCATAAATAGGGTCCGGGATACGACAGCGTTGCTTTGCCGGGACAAATGGGAACTCCAAGAGTGGCAATCCATGATTCTCACTAGTCAGTCACTAGCCCAAGACTTCCCCCTCCTGGTGACTTTAGGGCGCTAACCAGTGCAGGAGATCAGCCAGTGAAGGGCTCTTCATACTACCCATGCAACAAGCACAACCCATACACAAGCCAGCAGTCTGCAAAGCCAACAGTGTTCCCAGCAAAGGCCACAGCTGGGTCCAGGGCCTGTGACTTATCCCATAAAACACCTGCGGAGCTAAGACACCGAGCTTATGCAACAGACATACCCTTCAAGTCTTTTTGTTAAGTTCAAAGAGACACAGGAACTCCCTGCTTTTGAAGTCTAAAGGCCCTCAAAGCATTCTGCCATTGTTGTCGCTACTTTTTATTGAGTAAAGCTGAAGGCACAGAGTGTAGCGCTAGACACCTTCCTGCGGAAGGTCCAGTTCTCACAGCAGCGCTTCCCTATTACAGAGGTGGGAGCCAAGGTCCAGAGACCTTGTCGTAAAGTCATTCTATGAGGCACAACGCCTGGTGCTCACTCTTCCCTTTCGGTCAGGGTCATATTCAAGGTCCTTCCCAAAGTTACTCTCCGAACGCCAAACCCTTCTGGTCTAACTCACAAAGTTTTGCATTATGTATGGCTTTATGTTCATTTGCTAAAGTTAAGGAGAATGAGACTCTTGTGTACTGAGTGACGGAAGCTCTTTTTACACTTTCTTCAGAGTATTTGCCTGCAGGCCACCCTAGGTGTCTCCAGCCAGCATTATCCTAAAGTCTGTTTGACCTGGAGCCTAGGGTTTCGGCAGCCTTCCAGGGACAACATCCTTGGCCCCAGAATCAAGACAGCAAGCAGACAGGAAGAGTAGGGATGGGGCACAGTTGAAGGTTTGGGTGAGGGTTCTGAGGAGGGTTACTGGATGTGGAAAGAGCATCAAGCCAAATGGAGCAGAACCTGGGTTTGACCAGTGTCCCCTTTCTGTGAAACAAGACAGTAGCCCACGGAGGTGGAGGGTGAGGCAAGAACTAGCTCATAGCTGCCAGGGTGGCTAGATTCTTTGATTTGTTTTCTAATAAATCCCAACTCGCTTCCAAGAGAGGCTTCTCTTGATCTTAAATCACACTGGCCTTAACACCCTTCCCTAAGAAGGCAGATGACTGGATGGCAGGGTATTAAACCCCATACCAGGCCACCCAGCTATGCACAAATGCAAATGCTTTTCTTCAACCTCCAACCTTGGTCCTCAAACCCTGGACTGACAGAGAGCCCAGGGTTCCAGCCTGCCTAGGAGCAGGGGAGAAGGACACAGTGACACACAGTGCCATAGGACTGGGCTGAGGCTGATGGGAAGCCCCACGAAGCATCCTCTTCCCAGATTCCACAGTGGGCCCAAGGCTGCAGCGCCAGCTTGTCAGCACCTGAGACTGCAAAGCCTGGCCCCTCCTCTGGGGCTGCTGGGATGCCACACCCTGTCTCCCCACCTGAGTGCTGAACAAAGAGACTTCACACTGCAGATGTGCAGAGGACTGTCCCCACCAGTCACAGGGAAGTATGGGGCACGCACCCCAGAACAATACCTCCTCCCTGTCCTGTGCTGACCACACCCACTCTGAGGGGGTCACATTAGCAACCCAACCACGCCCCACACTCTGAGCCAAGAAGGGGCACAGATACTGGGGGTTCCCCTACCCCAGAAGCCACTAGTCCCTGCTGCCCTAGCCCCCACTCTTCCTTTTCCTAAGCACTGCACTGGTCCAGCAGGTCTCCACCCCGGCCTCTCTTATCCAGGGCAGGCGCTTCTCTGGGTCCTTCCTGGAGACATGGCTTCCATCCACTTGTTAATCACACTGGTGAAAACGTCAAGCTGGTGCTCCATGTCACACAGTCCTTCAAAGAAGGTAATACTGTCCCCATGACATAAGTAAGAAACTGAGTCACAGAAGGTTCAGCCTCTTGCCCGGAGATCATAACCCTGCTCAGGTAACCTGTGAAGGAGGGGATGGAAGAGGAGTACATGAGGGAAGTGGCAGGACAGTGTGACACCGGCAGCAGGCTTCCCAGAATCCGGAGGTCCGCGCCTGCTACCATCAGGTACTGGGCATCAATCAGTCCTTCGGGGTCCCTTAATCATTCACCCAATGAAGACAGCAGTGACCACAAGAACCCAAAACCAACTCTGGGCCTGGGATCCATCTAGCCTATCCCTCCCTCTGTGTCCACCGACTGTCTAAGTGTGGCTGTCCCACCAAGCCTACCTCTCTCAAGAAGTGAGTCTTCAACCTCTCCGTGCCTCCCAACCACTTCTGAGCCCACCCACCGTCCATGTTTGCGGCTTCCAGGGAGCAGTATCCTTCCACATCTGCCATTCTCAAACGGTATTTTCCTGCTCAGTAAGGTTTTAGGAAATCTTTAAAAACACATATTTCCTCAGTCAAGTCAGCTTTAGAAACATGAGATCGTCTTTCTTTCCTATATAACTTGCCTGGACCTCCAAGTTTCATAAACACAGCATGACCCTCCTCCAACAGGACGGCAGGGTAGACCTGCCAATTTCTTCTCTTATTTGTCTCCTAATCCCTAAGAAGGCTTACAGCAGTCCTTTAGAAATGGTACCCCTCACTCCTCAGGGAGGCCTGAAAGGGGGGCAAGACAGGCTTGACTGTGCCCTCCTCTGAAGAGCTGGTAGAGATCAGCCTAAAAGCAGGCCAACCCCTGCCCTTCCAGCCCCTCTGGGCATGGGGTGGCATTCACCTTCAGGCACCATCTTTGGCCGAAGAGTGGTGCCAGCATCCAATGGGACCTCAACTGACTCTAAGCTGCGCTGAGCCAGGAGAGCAAGGAGCCTTGGGAGAGCCCAAGGCGAGCCAGACAGTTTTCCACACGAATCACTCGCTCAGCTGCAGCATTAGCACACAGCTTTTAATGGGAAACTAGAACGTAGGTGTATTAAACTCCTGCTCTGGAAATACACAGTGCCCCGCCCAACAAACCCTGTGACATCACTCCATGGGGGAACAGAACCTCTCTGTTTACAGACAAGGAAACTGAGGTGGCAAAAGGGAGCAGACACTTGCCTGTAGTGGTTCGGCCCAGGCCCCGACTCCCAAATACACTGGGGAGGTGACCAGGGCAGAGTAAGACCACAGCCGCAGCTCAAGTGACCAGCAGCAGCAGCGACAGGAACTCCCACAGGGCCAAGGGGAAGGAGACAGACAGCTTGTCAGGAGTGTCACAGCTGTGCTGGAGCTGAAGCCAGCTGCAGCCCCAATCTCTCGCTCCGCCCTGGCTAGAGGAAGGGTGCGCACCCCAGATTGGCTTCTCCACTAGACTAGGCTGCAGGCAAAGATAAGGTGCCCTGCCTGCCATCTACAGTCACCCTGTGTTAAGACCTAGTCACCCCAGACACCCCACTGAGGTCTTGGAACTCCAGCATCTGAGACCCAAGTGCCCACAGGTCCCTCATCTAGCCCTACTTCCAAGCAGGCCACCCCACAAGCATCTCTACATTCCTTTCTGTACTCCCCACCCCCTGGCTCCCGTCCTCACAGAGGTTGTTACCTGAACTCTGCCAAAACAGTCCACAAGGGACTGAGGGAACCTCCTGTAGGTCCCATAAACTGAGCCTGTCACATAGAACACAGGTCTAAATTCACTGCGCAGACAGGGGCCAATGGAGTAGCAATTCTGCACAGCCTATATGCTCTTAAAAATGCAGAGTCTCAACTAGGCATGGTGCACTCTGGAGGCAGAGGCAGGAGGGTCTCTGTGAGCTGGAGGTCAGTTTGGTCTATAGACAAGTTCTAGCACTGCTACAGAGTGAGATATCACCTCAAAAAAAAAGAAAAAGAGAGAGAGAGAAAGGAAGGAGAGAGAGAAAGAGAAGGGAAGGAGGGAAGGAGGGAGGGAGGAGAGGAAGGAAAGGAGGGAGGTAAGGATGGGGAAGAGGAAGGGAAAGAAAAGAGAGGGAGGGGGAGGGAGGAAAGGAAGGAGAGTAGGAAGGAGGGAGGGAGGGAGGGAGGGAGGGAGGAAGAAGGAAAAGAGAGGGAGGGGGGAAAGGAAGAAAGGAAGAAAGGAAGAAAGGAAGAAAGGAAGAAAGGAAGAAAGGAAGAAAGAAAGAAAGAAAGAAAGAAAGAAAGAAAGAAAGAAAGAAAGAAAGAAAGGCTAGACAGAAGGGAAAGGGGGAAAATGCAGATTCCCAGGCCTCACTCTGGACCCACGCAATCAGACAGGGCTGGCCTGCGTCTCGGTACAGTGAACAGGTGCATATCTGTGCTCAAGCCTGAGGAACGAGCTTTAAAACCACAGCTCTAACCATACTGTGACAGCCGTGCCCTTAACCTCCAGTGGTTCCCTGGGCCTGGTAAAGGTCCAGATTCTGCAGCTGGGTAATCAAGCTTTTCACAGCCTGGCTTCCACCCACTTCCCCAAGCTTGACCTCCTTTGCCACCCCGGGAATGCCACCAGTCCTCTGACAGGCTCGGGGACACTGGAGCACCACTTCTTCCAGGAAGCTTCTCCGAAGCACACCTGGCAAGGCTGGCCCCCTTTTATTTCCTGAACAGTGAGAACCAAGCCCTTTGTCCCTGTTGCCTCGGGACACCAGGCTAGGCACAAGAGATGCCAGGGGCCAATGACATCTAAGGAGACCCAGTGTCCAGCTCAGGCTCTGCACGAGTCTCCAAGTCAACTGAGCAAACTAGGAAGCAGGCAAAGACAGGCCTCCCTCCATGAACCTCCTGACAACTACAGCAATGTGCTTGGTGTGTGCCTCAGTTTCCTCCAAATGCAGAAGAGAAGGTCCAGTGATTCTACTTTCTCTTCTTGGGAGGAGATGGAGGGTCTGCCGAAGTGGAAGAACAGATCCCCTAAACTCTGGAACTCACAATTTGTAATAAACGTCACCCCCGTGTGGCCAGCAGCCCTCCTCAGCCAGTCAGGGCCTTAAAGGTGGTCACGGAGGTGTCACTGGAAAAGGCTCACTGGCACAGCTGCCCTGGCCTGGGTCCCACAACTGGCACCCCTTAGAAAGCCCCTCATAAGAACATAGCCCCCACGGAACTGTCAACCTCTACCGCCTCCAGGGGCCAAGAAAAAAGTCTCTCTCATCCCATTATACAGAAAGGCAGAGAGAGGCCAAGCCACTTTCAGTCCTGCGGCTCTGCCCTCACATCCTATCCTGGCCCACCTCAGACCCCAGCTGGGCTCCCAAGAGCTGGGCCGCAAGCACCACCCCGCTGTTCTTGGCAGGATCATGAAGAGGCGAGCTTGTCTGTGGACCCCAGTGAGCTTTGGCCTCTCCAGAGAGGGGGATTCAAAGAAGCAGCGACAGGGACATGAAGCAAGAGGTGACATTCTAACTAGTGTTTAGACTAGAAGCACAAGTCGCCCCCACCCCAGAACCTTGATATCAGTGTGCATGAACCCCAATTACCTGACCTGGGTCGGATTTCATCCCAGGAAAGGAAGTGGGGCCAGAAGCAAAAAATCTTGGCAGCCCACCCCAAGCAAGGGCTCCAGTTTTAAAGGGGATCAGGCACCCCTGCAAGGCAGGAAATGCCCTTGTTTGTTAAGAAGCCCTCCACTGGCCCAAATCTAAGAGGATTCCAGAGCCACTATTAGCTGTAGTATTGTACCTCCAGTCTGCCCTCAACAAAATGGAAGAAAAGTTGCTAAGAGCATCAGTGTCGATCTGAAGAGTTCTTAAACAATACCTAGCACCCACTGAGCACACTAGGTTCTTGCCCTTGACCAGATTTCCTCTACTCAGGATGCTCTCTTTGCTCCCACCTATGCCAGTTCCTGCCATTTCCTAGGTATGCCTGTTGCACACCAAATATAAAACTGTTAGCTCCTAACTCCAGCACTTGATTCACAGGGTGACTTTTAGGTCTGTCCTGGGTTCCCTGTCAAGATCTCAGCTCCCCTTCCTTGCATATCAGGGGTCCCCTGGCTCTACCCCTCTACTCTGGAGTATTAACTCCACAATGCAACACTAGATTGACTGTTCTCTACAAACTGGAAAGCCATGGACAGCAAGATGAGGGTTCATGAAAAGACACACTCCCAGCCCAGCTGCTTCTTCCTCTCAATTCCCTGGCCCCCTAGGTTTGAACATGCAGAAGCCGCCCAAGGGAGTAGGTTGAACTAAATCCCAGGCTGTCCCCACGTCCTGAATTAGAGACCCTGCTTCCTACATTCCACATATCCACTCTCTCAAACACACGTACACCTTGATTTCCAGCCAAGAAAGCAAAGGAAATCATTTGGCTGCAAACGACAGTGATCTCCCCATGCTTGGTCTCCCCATGATAGACCGGAATGACCTCAAGGTACCCATATCTTCCCAGCTTCCCCTTTTCACATCCTACTGGCTGGCTCACATTCTTGCAGCAATTTGCACAACTGCTTTTGTGGAAACAAAACAAACTCTTCAGATCACTTAAGACTACAGGAATTCCCTGTGCTAACTGTAAGGCCCATGCCTTTCTGCCTAGCCCAACCTCACCTTAATGGGTCAAGATTTCCTGAGGGGTACCTACAGGACACTAAGCAAGAGGCTTCAGATACAGCAATGGGACAATTTGTCAACAGACAGAGCTTTTAGAAGACCTGCAGTGAGCCAACCAGTCAAGGTTCTAGCCCTTAAGAAGCCCAAACAAAGTCAAGACAACTGTAACAAGGGGTTATCAACCCTTAAATAGAAAATGAAGACATTAAAGCAAGTTTTAATATGAATCACATGTAGAGGAGGGGTCTTCTACCTAGGCTAGGCTGGTATCTGGGGAAGGTATACTTAAATTTAGAGCTAAAAACTATAAGCAAAGCATGTCCAATAAAAAGCACTGGAAAATAACCTTTCAGTCAAGGAAGACATCACAAGCAAAGTCTCTGGGTCAGGGAAAAGCTTAGGGTGCTGAAGAGACAGAAGTGACTCAATTTGTCTGCCAGGGAGACTGTAAAGATGACAAGACTCAAATCAGGCTGAGAGGTCATCAGTGGCCACATGACAGAGGGTCAGATAGAAGCCATGGGAAGGTTTTGTGACTTTACTCAAGTGTTCAGCGTTCAAGTTGTTAACAAGCCCTCAAGGAATCAAATGATCTGATCAAAACGTTCTATGCTATTCTTGCCGCTCTGCTAAAAACAGATGCAAAGAAGATAAGTAGGGTACTGGGAGAGGGAGACTATGGTATTGAGGAAGAGTTAAACGGTGGCTTGGCAATGGGCAGTGGCCTGAGGTGACAGTAACAGAATCAGAGCAGGAAGAATGGGTCCTAGATAGACCCTGTGGAAAGAGTCAAAAAGGCCTTGCTCTGGGACTGGCTGTGAATGCAGAAAGGAGTCCAGGCTTCCTGTCCTAAAAGATGGGTAGATTACCAGCCATTTTCAGATGGCAGGACCTGAGAGGCTCCAGTCCCCAGTGTTGTCAGGAGCCTGCTTTACCCACATTAGTTTCCTGTCAACCGGGACACGATAAACAATCAGAAAGAGTGGTGGGACCCAGCTGGAGTCAGAGACAAAATCTGCTATTCAAAGTCATGAGCATGAAACACTTAAGATCTTTGTGTTCGGGACTGGAGAGACGGCTCAGCGGTTAAGAGCACTGGCTGTTCTTCCAGAGGACCTGGGGTTCAGTTCTCAGAACCCACATGGCAGCTCACAACTGTCTGTCACTCCAGTTCAAGGGGATCAAACACCCTCACACAGACATAGATGCAGGCAAAATACGAATAGACATAAAATAAATAAAAAGGAGATTATTGTGTTCATAAATTAATAGAGTTTTTTTTTAATCATAAGAAAGAATGAAAACTGGGGTAGAAAGTGAACAGGGGATGCTGAGAAGGGAGTCAGGAAAGGCAGTGCTGAGAACAGAACGCTGGAGCCCTCCAACAGCTAAGTGAAGCCTTGCAGGAAAGCAGGCTAAGACAGACAGGCAGGAGGGAGGAACCAGAGAGCCCGGGAAGATTATAACTCTGGGACAGAGCTTTTAGGAGACCTGCAAGGTGGGCAATGCCTGCCAGAGTGATGAGTCACTGGAGACCCTGGGTGTCTCTTAGGAGCACTGCTAAGGACGGAACTTTGGAGGAATATACATTGTAATTGGAACTGGGTCCTGGGCTTCAAGGGGGTGAAGTTCAAGGCCCAAAGGGGAGACTGTGGAATTAGAGGACGTAAGCCTGTTCTCACAACCTGCTGGGTAGGAAACCCTG